GTGATGCAGAGGCCACACCTGAAGCCTAGGTGAGCATCACGTGGCACCATCATCTCAGGGCCTTTGCACATCTATACACTAAATGATTCCTTCAGGATTGAAGGATTTCATCATCAAAACACATTCATTTCTTACTATCTGCAATAGATTACAATTGCTATCCAGCTTTTTTAATACTTACTTTTTTGTGCCTTGCTCCAAGATATTCTAACTATTTTGGAAGTCAGAGCTGGAGGAGAAGGGAGCCAGGCAAGGTGAGGAAGGGAGAAGTGGGCAAAAGGACAGAGCTAAGGAAATGGGCAAGGAGGCATCCTGAGAAAAAGCTTTCTGAACCAGAAGTAGTATTGTGGGAGGCTCATGGGGTTGTCCGAGAGAAGACTTAACCCAGAGCAGCAGTGACTGGGTTCTTGACTCCATGCAAGAAAGAATTCAAGAGGGAGACAGTTGCAGGAAAGCGAAAGTGATTTGCTGAAAATGAAAGCACACACTTGAAGAAAGTGGGGGAACTCAGAGAAGAGTGGTGCCCCACAAGTCACAATCAGTGGTGTTTATCCTTCCCAGGGCAGAAATTGGTGACATCCCATTGATGTGGTTCATTTATCTCCTCCCTTGGGTGGAACCCGACATTTCCCAATTTTTTTTTCCTTATTTGGTTCCTCTGGAACCGTCATGGCATCGGATGCATGATGGGAGTCATAGTAACTGCAATGCAAATGAAATTATAATGACATTAAAATTAGCTAAAGGTCAGGTTCCGNGTTTTTCCTCTGTGTCTCTGAGACTATTTCTGTTTACATTTCTCATTTATTCAGTTTTTTAGAATCCACGTATAAGTGAGATCATATGGTATTTGTCTTTCTCTGACTGTCATGAGTCTTTCTTACTATAAAGATAAACTAATTCTCCCTTTTCAAAAAGTTCATGAAAGTCTGTGTGAGCTATCAAAAAGGGTTTTGGTTCATCCTGATGGCAACTAGGAGGCATCAAAGGGGTGAGGCGGAGAAGAGACGTCCTCTGAAATTGCCCTCAGCAGTGACCACTTTCCCTGCAGTGTGGGGGAAAGACTAGGGATGGGGCCACCTGACTACTGGGAGGCTGTGCCCATAATTACTAGTGACGGATGTCAGTGGTCTCAGCTAGAGTAGTGGCAATTGGACATAGACAATAATTCTTATAATTATAGCTAGGAATGGTCACAGGAAAAGGTTTCAGTCAGGGGTGATGAGAGAAAACTGTACTGTCACAAAAGTGAAAAAGAAAGCATATTAAAGAGGAAATAGCTACGAGGATAGATCTCTGTTGAACCAATGAGAAGAGGCCTGAAATAGTACCTGCCTGCACTGATGACCACTGAGATGCATCCCACCATTTATGATGTGACCTGTCCCTACCTGTTTATGAGTCTCAATTCCTTAAATACCAAGAGTATGGTAGATGTGAACAGCCAACAGAAGCAGGGCTCATTATATTTCTCATTTAAACTGCAACTTTTTAATTGTTTCAGTGGTCGGTACTACTCCATTCAAGGTCTCCAGGGCCTGGCTTCCTCACTGTGCAATGGGACAGAGGCACTGTGAATGAAAGACAACAGCGGACTCCAGATAAGGCTTTGGCGTTTCTTCAGTAGGACCTAGTCATGGTCAGTCTCCTGCTGGTATGTAGCAGATTTATACAGACGTGCTTACATCATGCAAGAGATGACATGACAAACTCTCTGACAACGGACACAGCTGTATGGAATGAAGATGACACCAGGGGTGGGGCCATTGCAGCTGCATACACTCTGGCACTTCCCCATGAGTGGTGTTCTGGGGGCGCTGGCTCAGTGCCTGCCTGCCTGCCCAGTGTGTGCACACAGCTGAATGCTTACTGAGGGGCCAACTTGCCAGGGAGGCCCTCTGTGGCCCAGGCCCCAGCCTATGGAGGTCCACTCTTAAGATGCCTCCAATAGTCAACATCTAAAACCTACTGGGGGTTAACAGACTTCTAAAGTCCCCTGCCCCACTTTTTATTGCCCTTCAGGGAGCTGACAGGAACATTCTACTCCCATTTGTGACATTGCTTTCAGTTTACATCAGGCTCCCTCACATCTGCGTCATGTCCAATTATGATCCATATTTTTTTAGTTGGGTGAGACCTTGAAGATCATCCAGACCACCCCTCATTTTGCAGCTGAGGTTGTGGAGACTCAAAAGGCTTCAGTGGCTTGCTCGGGATCACGGGTAAAAGTGAAAACAAACGTAGACACAATGTCCCGAAAAGACAGCCTTGAAGGGTGGAGTCTGTCCTTTGAGTGAGGCTGAGCGGGGACTGATCTTGGGGAGCACAACCCTTCGTGACCTGAGGCTGTCTCTGTGCTCTGAAGGGCTGTCCCTCATGGTTTGAAAGCTAGCAGCGTCAGGACTGCAGATGTAACTCAATGCAACTGTGCTAATGCAAGCTACCTTTCTTTAATCATTAAGACATTTCTCTCGGCAACTCCTAACTGCATTCCAAATGTACTCCAAAATCCATTAAAATAATTTAAAATGAATTAGAAAATGTTTACAGCTGCCATGTAACAATGGCATCTGGGAACACACATTTAGTCTCACTGAGCACCGGTTTAAGGTATTCTGCCAAGTTCTGGAAGCAGGTCAGTAAGGCAGCACCCTGACTCAGGAGCCATGAGAGAAGGCGTCCCTGGCCATGCATATTAGGGGAGCACACAGCAGCAGGAGCCGCGTGCTGGGCACTCACTGACTCGCAGGAAAATGCTTCACAGGGGAGCTTGGGCTTGAAGAAAATAGGCTTTGATGGGTGGAGAAGAGCATTCCGGTGAGATGGAAGACACAGTCAAAGAATGTCTATCTCAAAACCTTTAGTATATTAGTACCAATCCATCCAAATTCACAAAAGCTGTGAAACTCATAGACAAACCAGAAGTATAGGCAGTCCAACTGAAACAGACCCAGTTCCTGTCAAGAGGGGTAAATTTCACATCTTCACAGCCTAAGCCCACTGCAATCCAGAATAAACTGATATACAAAACATCGATTGACAAACTTCGGACATTTTGTCTCAAAATACCAAACCACACTTGTAAGACTGCTTCTTAGGAAATGCAGGTAGGTAGTCCACATACAAATTGCAACACAAGAACCTTCCTTCCTAATTCTAAGAAGGATCTTTGAAACTTGACCCACTGAAGCTATTTCATCTCAGAAACTTCCAACTTTCTTTAGACTTTTAACAGAGTCTACAAGCCGTGACAACCATGATCTCAAACTTGGTCCTTGGGCTCAATAACCAGCAACGTTAACGCGGGCCTCCTGGACCTGAGCGGTTTGACAGAGCTTTCCGCCTCTTGCAGTTCTGCGCTGGAACACATGGGGGCAGCAGAGCCCAGTCTGCCTCTGACCCGAATTACATCATAACTGGAATTTCAGGGGAGCTGCTCAAGCGCTGCAAGATAAACTGGCCGTCAATGCTTTCCCAGTATCGAAAACAGGAAGGAAATGTAAGCGATGCATTCAGTAGTAGCAACGGTAATGACTTCAGGATGCACGTCGAGCTCGTGGCTCTGTAACTAGATCCACATTAAATCCAACCAAATCCACTACGTGAAGGAAGCCTTGAGGCTAAAGATAAGTCCTCCAGTGGGTAATGGGTTTTTTGTTATCTATGTATCTATAGCTATAAATATAGATACATAGTTATATAGATACAGATATAAATTAGATTACATATCTAAAAGTATAAGTGTATACATTACATATTATATATAATATATATTCTTTGGGAGGAGGGCTTCTTATATCTTTCTGTTCTACTCAATGTATCTTCAATAGGCATGCATTTGTTAAATAATGAGAAAATATAGACTCAACAAATTTAAAAACAGAAGGAAAATTTACATTATATGAAAATTCAGCATATAGATTGAGAAGGCTTTTTTTCACACACACAAAATTAAATTTATAAAGTAATTAGCAACATGAACACTTTAAGTGACAAGCTCCATTTATAAATTTATTCAACAAATATCTTCTGAGCATCTTATATATNCTACATTTTCACCAACACTTGGTACAGCCAGTCTTTTTAATTTTACCCACTTTAATAGGTATGTAATGATATCTCACTGTGGGCTTAATTTGCATTTCCCTAATGACTAATGATGTTTAGAGTCTTTTTATGTGCTTATTTCTATCTCTTTTTCTCCTTAGGTGAAGTGTCTGCTCAAAGCTTTTCCCAATTTTTTATTGGGTTGTTGTTTTATTATTACTGAATGTTCAGAGTCTTTATTCATTCAATTATATAGATTAGTAGGACCTGCTATGTGCCATGCACTGTGCACAACAGAGGAAAGGTAGACAAAATCTCTTTCCTCAAAGAGATGACATTCTTCCATCACTAGGTCTATTGCCCTGCCTTTGGTTCTGGGTTGGCCTTTGTAACTGCTGTGATGAATAGAAGGTGGCAGAAATGACCACACAGTATTTCAGATTTGAAGGATTAAGTCATCAAAAGTGATAGACCTTTCACCTGGCTTTCTCTGTGTGTCCCTCTCTCATCCCTTAGAAAGCATCCTCCAGTCATGAGAGCCTCAGGCCACATGGTGAGGCCACATGTTGCAGCCAGCTAAGGTCTCAGCCAACAGCCTTCACAGTGCCTCAGCTCCAAGTGGAGCAGAGATACGCATCCCCTGATAAGCCTTTCTCAAACTGCAGACTCATGAGCAAAATCTGTGTTGTTGTTGCTGTTGCTGTTGTTGTTATTCGACCACTAAGTATTGGGGTGGTTTGCTATACAGCAATAGTTGACCAAAACACAAACCACAGAAGAGAATGGCATTGTTACACTGAAAATAGAATGTTTGATATTCTGAACAGTTTTATTTTTCTACAGCAGATGAGTATATTTATTAATTTTCAATATATATTATCTTTCAATTGCAGTTGACATATAATATTATATTAGTTTCAGGTGTATAACATAATGATTAGACACTTATATAACTTACAAAATGATCACCCTAGTAAGTCTAGTACAGATGTGTATATTTATTTAAATAAGCACATTTATACTTAAAGCATTTAAGTTAAAACTAAATGTTCACTTTTCTAATTTTACAGGCATTTGCCTTAGAAAATCAAAGATGTTCACTTTGCAGCAAATGGTCTGGAAGCCACAAAATTTCAGGGCTGCAAATGACATTGACAGGCTCCTGTCCTCACTGTACAGCATAGAAACTTGAAGCCAGCATTCTTTCTGTTTATTTTATATAACCTGGAAAATAAAGATATGCTTTCCTGCTTAGTCACTGTCTTGGTGACTTCTCCATTTAGGATGAATCATACTAAATTTGTTAAGAATATTTTCTTTCCTTTGTGATTATATATATATAATCTCAAACCTTCTGTTTAAGAAGCTAAATTTACACTGAGCTGCAAACAGGTGGCAGGATGGCTCAGCTAAAAAAAAAAAAGAAGAAGAAGCTAAATTTATCTCCCACGTTATTAAAATTCCAATTTGCTCACTCCCTAGAAACAATCCCATGCACCTCACACAATCTCGGGTGATCAAAGCTGCAGGCTCTGGGTGCTCACTCAGTTGGGTTTCAAATTCCATCTCTGCCACATTCTACCTGTATGGCTTTACGCAAGTCATTCGGTCCTTCCTGGACTTGCATTTTCTCATCTGTAAAGAGGAGATACATTATAGTATGAAATAGGCCTCATGGGGTTTTTGTGAAAAATAAATGAAATAACATGCATTAAAGTCCCTGAATCATAGTTGATACTCAAAAGATGGCAGTAACTATTATGACTCTGCCACCCTCTTCAACAGAGGCCTCTGAATTCCATTCATGAGTCTTTCTTTTTTTTTATTTTTTGTTTTTTTATTATTAGTTTCAGGTGTACAGAACAATGCAACAGTTATCCTTTTCACCCCTCAAAAGAAACAACCCCCCTCCCCATCTACTGCCNCCTCCATAACTATAAAAGAATAAATTTGTGGGGTTGTTTATTTGTTTGGTCTACCAAACAGTAAATTTTACTTCCTACCTAAGTGAGTGTTTCTAAGTTGTTGAAAGTATTGCTCTATACTTACACATTCTAACTAGTGAAATTAAATAGTGATTTGAGGGAAGAATGAACAGGAAAAGGTAATTCAGTTCAGTATTGGTTTTTGACTTTATAGTTTGATAAAAACAATTTCTTCTTGTTTATCCCATACCTTTCTACTGCTAACCTCTAGTTTAATCACAGTACTTTGTTTCTTTCTTTTTCTTTTTCAATTACAGTTTACATTCAATATTATTTTTTATTAGTTTCAGGTGTACAGCATCGTGCTTAGACATATATATATAATTCACAGAGTGATCCCCCATTTAATCTAGTACCCACCTTGCACTATACATAGTTATTATAATATTATTGACTATATTCCCTATGCTGTACTTTACATCCCTGTGACTGTTTTTGTAACTACTAATTTGTACTTCCTAATTCCTTCAACTTTCTCATCCAGCTCCCCAAGACTGTTTTCCTCTGACAACCATCAGTTTGTTTTTTTTATCTATGAGTCTGTTTCTGTTTTGTTTGTTCATTTATTTTGTTCTTTAGGTTCCACATATAAGTGAGATCATATGGCATTTGTCTTTCCATCTCTCACTTATTTCACTTGAAATAATACCCTCTAGGTCCATCCTTGTAGTTGCAAGTGGTAAGATTTCATTCTTTTTTATAGTCAAGTAATAGTCTATTACATATAAATATTATATATATGTATCATATAAAATTATATATATATACATATATATATACATATATATATATATATATATATATATATATATAATCTCACATCTTCTTTAACCATGGACACTTAGGTTGTTTCCATATCATGGCTATTATAAATAATGCTGTAATGAACATAGTGGTGCATATATCTTTTTGAATTAGTGTTTTGAATTTCTTCTGATAAATACCCAAAAGTGAAATCGCTGGGTCATAAGGTAGTTTTATTTTTAATTTTTTTGAGACACTTCCATGCTGCCTTCCATAGTGGCTGTACCAATTTATAATCCCACCAACATTTATAAGTGTTCCTTTTTCTCCACATCCTTGTCAACACTTGTTATTTGTTTTTTTTTTTATTGTAGCCATTCTGACAGGTGATATCGCATTGTGGTTTTATTAATCCAATGATTAGTGACACTGAGCATCTTTTCATATGTCTATTGGCCTTGTGTATATCCCCTTTGGAAAAATGTCTGTTCAGATCTTGTGCCCATTTTTTAATTGGATTGTTTGGTTTTTTGGTGTTGAAGTATAAGTTTTTATAAATTTTGGATATTAACCCCTGATTGGATGTATCATTGGTGAATATCTTCTCCCATTTTGTAGGCCATCTTTTCATTTTGTTGATGGTTTCCTTTGCTGTACAAACCCTTTTGAGTTTGACGTTGTCTTGTTTGTTTTTGTTTGTTTGTTGGTTTTTGTTTCTGTTTTTGGCTGAGGACATATATCAGAATAAATATTACTAAAAGTAGTGTCATAGAGTTTACTGCCTATGTTTTCTTCTAGGAGTTTCAGCTGTTGAAAGAGCCTCTGGTTGTAAATGAGTTGGGTGAGGCAGGGTCTCAGGGAGTCACCAGAGTGAGGTAAGTGGTGTTCACCAGCTTAATACAGATTCAGATTTGTGTCAGTGCTGAGCCTGGGGCCACTCAGCAAAAGGTACCGAGGTCACCTGCCATCTGCCTGGAGCCCTCGAATTGCTGAGAGTCTTCCAAGAAATACTGCATCTGCTGCCCACAGCTGAAAGAACCTTAGGCGGTGCATGAGTTGTGTGGTGCAAGATCCCAGGGAGTTATCAGGGTGGAGCAAGGGGAGTTCAGCAGGCCAATGAAAATTTATATTTGGCCATGTGAAGGAAGGGCTCAACACAGGGACAATGGTAGCTGTCCCTCCAGCCCTCGTCCTGAAGACACAAAACTCAGTCTCTCCCTGAATGTCTGGCTCCTCCCAAGCTGCCATCCCTCTGCTGAAGCCCATGGTCAGTGTCTGCGAGTGAGTGAATCTGTGTGTGGGCCCTTTAAGAGGACACCTGGGTTTTCAGCAGCCTTCCATTTCACTCAGATGGACAGAATCTGTCCTGATTTTCACAGCTAGATGTTGTCGGGGCTCCCCTTTTCAGCACTGGTGATCCAGGCTGGGGAGCCCAGTGTGGGTCTGGGCCCCTCTCTCCTCAGTGGGGACCTCTGCAGTTGAGATACCCCTTCTGTTTTTCAACCATACACACAGATGTGGGGCCATGATATTTCACATCTCCGCCCCTCCTACCAGTCTCGATGTGGCTTTTTATATCCTTAGTTATAGGACTTCTGTTCAGCTATACTTCAGATGGTTCTCCCAGTTGATTGTTCTATAATTTAGTTGTAATTTTAATGTGGTCATGGGAGAGGGCAAGAATAGCATTTACCCACTCCCACCGTCTTGACTGAAATCCTAAAATTGTGTTGTTTTAATCTACTGTTTATGACAGTTTATTACAGTAGCAATAGGAAACTAATACAATCAAAACCACAAAATTTCTGCAGAAGTTTTCTGACCTGAGCGGGTAGTCTGGGAATTCACAAGGGCTGGGCTTTGGGGTGTGCTGCTGGTGAGTCCCACCAGAGCCTAGCAGGACTGGGGAGCCATGGGGAAGCTGCATAAGTGGTACAATGTCAAAGGGCGCCAGTAGGCAGCCCCTGGACCTTTGAAGGGCCCCCCAGAGCTGCCACCCGTGTGGCTGGAACTAGAGGGTAAGGCGTCCTGGGAGCTGGATTTTGGGGGAGGGGCCTGGGCCGGCCAGTGGGGGCTGAAGGGCTCCCAGACTGTGCCTAGTCTTTGTGACACTGGGGTGGAAGACCAGAGAGATCCCCCTCTAAGATGATACAAATAAGTGGGGGACAGAGATTGTCTAATTTAAACTGAATTTAGACTAATACTTGGGTTTTCTCTTGCTTGGAGTACAGGCCTAGTATAATAGCATGGGGACTTTGGGCAAGAAAATAAGTTAATTTCATCCATCCTGATGGCTTCTATTATAATCTTGCCAGCAACTCCTAAATTTGTATTTTAAACCCTGACTTGTCTGCTGAGCTCCAGGCTGCTTAACACAATATTTTAGTATGAGTGCCTACTAAGTGTCAGGAACTTCTAGGTGCAAGAGACATGACAGAAAAGACTTAAGGGGAAAAAGTTTTGCCCTACTGAGCTTAGCTGCTTCTGGGAGGAGACAGGCAGAAACAAACATGTAAAATATATAGAATGTTGTGTGGATGTAAGTACTGAGGAGATGAAGCAGAAGAGGTGATTGGGTGAATTGTGGTGTTTCATAGGATGGGTGGGGAAGGCCTCATGAGGAAGCATTATTTGAGTCAAGACCTGAAGGTGGCCAGAACGGCTGAGTGGAGATGAAATTTAAAATGAGGGCAGCATCATGGAGGGCCTCATGGGTCATTGCAAGAACTGTGGCCCTGGGAGTTAGCTACATTTCTTAAAATTGTCTCATTCTTCTTAATGAGAGTCATACAACCTCTTGTACACTTTGTGATGTTCATATAGACGTACAAAGCTTGAACAGTTAACAGAAGAATCAGATAGGGCCCCTATGGGATGCTGCAGAAGGAACTCCAGCGTTAGACGTCAAACATAAATTGGCACTCCCCAAGTCCCCNAAAAAAAATGGTTCTTGTTTTCTCCAGGTGCAGGTACTGGGTACACTCACTTTGTTACTGGTGTAACCAGTGAAGCACCTCATGCTGTACCCTGGAGGAGGTCATCGATTTCCTAGGCTACATGTCCTGCCTCAGTGGCCCTGGCCGCGGCATCCGAGTCATGTCAGGAGCACACCTACAAAGACAAATTGCTGTTCAGGGAGCTGAGGCAGGAGCAGCTGTTCACCACCTCTGGAAATCCTGCCATGGTGGGAATTTGCCTGGATGCTGATAAAGAGCTGATTAAGCCCAGCTGAGAGAACCAGGTCCCCTCACCCCATTTCCTGCATAGAGTGCTGGTCAGAAGACCCTGGTCTTCGCCTCTGGTGCAAGGCTGGCCTCTGCCTCTTGCCGGGTGACAAGGTAAATCTCATAGCCTCAGTTTCTTCATCTGTAAAAGGACATGAGACTAGAACTTTCAAGATGCTTTCCAGTGCCAGAGGTTTGTGATTCCACAACACCCCAACAAAGTTCTTCATGGTACTTCAAAGTCTTTCCCCTTCAAATTAAAAAGTGCTCCAAGTTTGCAACATTTTCTAGTGATATGACTATTGCTTAGTATCGCTGAGCCTCAAATGCCTTGTGTGCAAAGTAAGAACACTAATGGCCACACTTGCAGACTTTTGTGGAAATTACAGTAAGTGGGATTTTAGTGTCTGGCACAGTGTCTGCCACATGGCACGTGTTCAGCCTCCCCCTGTACCACATTATGTTAATAATGATCATTTACTTTTATGCCAGTGTTCCTAAATATGATTCACATTTTGGGCCATGTCATTCTCTGTTGTGAGGGGCTGTCCTGTGCATTGTAGGATGTTTGGCAGTATCCTTGGTCTCTACTTACTAGGTGCCAGTGGCACCCCCATATAGTTGTGACAACCCAAAATGTCTCCAGACATTGCCAAATGGCTCCTAGAAGGCAAAACTTTCC